TCCCTCTCACTTTGGTTTTTTTGATTAGCATTGCTTTGGGTATTTGGGGTCTTTCTTGGATCAATATGAATTTTAGGATTTTATTTTTTAATTTGGTGAAGACTCACATTGGTATTTTGATAGGATTTGGATCAACTCTGTAGATTTTTTTTTGGCAGTAGATGTTCCTTTAAATGGTGTTTATTCTTTTAATACTTTTCCAGCTATTGTAAAGGAGATAAGTTCTTGAATTGGTTTTCAGCTGGTGGTTATTGGTGTATGAAAATTATACTGATTTTTTTATGTTGGTTTTGTGTTTTGAGATTTTACTTTACTGAATTCATCTATCGAACCTAGGATAGGATAGTTTTGGAGGAGTCTTTAGGGTTTTCTAGGTATAAGATCATATCAGTAGCAAATAGAGATAACTTCCTCTGTTCTGATTTTGATGTACTTGTGGTAGTATTGTACTGGACAGGTGAGCATGTCTCATTGCCTCCAGCACTTGAATGCCCCAGGTAGTGGGTGGGTCCCTAGAGCTTTAAGAAAGTCCTTATTCTCCACCAGAGCAAAGACAGAAGAAAAGTGAGGCTAGATAGGGCCAAGTTGGGTAAATTTGAACTCAGAAGAAGGGAAAATATGTAATATTTTCATATACAGAATTCATAGACAGAATTACTTTACTTTGAAGAACTGTTTCTGGCTTGTCCCTAGATGTGAATATAGACTAAAATTGTGCCTATGGACCAGAAAATTGCTATGTAACCTGAGCTTCTCATCATTCCCTGACCACTAAGGCATAATTTTGGGCATGTGTGGGAACACTTCATTACTAATTGGAAGATACATATACAAGATTGAGCTCAACAAGTATGTTCTGAAAACACAAATAAAGCACATGAGCAGGTGGCAATAGTACACTTATTTATTTGCAGTTTTTGGCCGGGGCTGGGTTTGAACCTGATACCTCTGGTATATGGGGCCGGTGCCCTACTCCTTTGAGCCACAGGGACCACCCAAATAGTACACTTATTTACATTGCTTTCCCTTTATTGCCCTCATAAGAAGTCCTCTATGCTCATTTCATCAAGGAACAATGTTTGAGGTTTGAATTATAGATGAGTTTGTTTGATATACTGAATATGGTTGTTTATTTTGCACATGGAAAGAGAGGTGACTTGATGTACAGAACTCTACTGGTTTGTGGACAGTGGATAATGATTTTGTTGATTGATCAGAGATTTATAAGGATTGTGATTATATAATTGATTACTAAACATTTTTGGGAAGAGCTAGGTATACATATAGAATTCTCCAAATAGGCACATAAGGCTACTGTGCTTGTCTTTTGTATGAATGCTCACTAAAGAACTACCTCAACAGAAGAGGAATATTATAATAAGATAAAATTTGTTCTGTGGTTGTCAGCTTCTTTTCCCTACAACTTCTGTTTTTGCTCAATGTGTTCATCAAAGTGGCAATGATAATAATAAGGAAAATTATGAATGGGCTCATCAGTACAGAGTTTTGCTTAACAAGGTTGATTTCATTAAAAGTACTACTGAATGATGACTCTATACTGCACTCTACCAATAGCAGAGACCAACAGAAAACCTCTTATATAGCAACATTTTCTTAGGTGATGAACTATCCATTGCATGAAAATATGATTACCTTAAACAACTTCCATCATGAAAGATACAATGAATAAGGTTGTGAAAACTTTCTTTCTGAAATAGATACTTATTCTGGATATAGATTTCTCTCCCTTCTATCAAGCTTTTGCCAAAATTACCATCCACAAACTTAGTGAATACCTTATTCACAACCATGATAATACATACAACAGTATTTCCAACAAGATAACTTGTTTTAGAGCAAATGAAATGTGTTAAGCAGCTCATGTTTGTGGAAGTATTCCTTTATCGCCCTAAAGCAACTAGCCTGAAAAAATAGCAGGATGTTCTTTTATAGTTACATGGAAAGTGATCACAGGTTGTGGGGGGAGGGCAATACTTTATAATGCAACAGTATTATCCTCTGGATGTGGTATATGTGCTGAATCGTTGATCACTATATTTGATATGCTATTTTTATCAAATCTGGATTTAAAGCTCTGAGGATCAAATTGTGGAAAATCTATTATTTTCTCTCAGTATGACACTATTGTGTGCCAGAAAAATTTTTGCTTGTCATTTAACTTTGGTGTTTGTGGTTTATAGGTCTTAGTTACCAAAGGAGGAAGGTTTCTAATCAGTTCATGCAGGAATAATTCCGGTCAACTAGAGATGAAACTACCACCTCCCTGATTTATGCTCATTGTATTATTGAATTAATAGGTGTGGAAATAGATAAATGTACTGACTGAGATAAATATTTCTGGTTATTAAAAAGAAATTACAGGGCAGGAAGGCGATGTTGTCTAGGAGACCTCTTCTTAGTCTTCTATTCTATGATAATGGAAAATTATAAGCCCAACATAGTACCACAGACTCATCAGAAGATAGTTTATGGCCAGGTGATATGTGAGATAAGAAAAAAAGGAATATTAAAATGGGAGTGGAAAGAAAATTTTAAATATCTGACTTAGCTACATGAATAATTGCAGAAATCAAGGTGATAATAGTTTTGATCATTTTTTACATAATCCACACAGACACTTGCACATGCTACTTTTAGTTTTTTCTCCTTTTTCCATTTCTCTATAGTATGTAAAGTGCTAATAACAAATAGTAGTTAAGTTACAAACTATCACAGGGAAGTGTTTCTCATCTAGAACAATAATGTGTACATAGTATAAATCAAATACTCAAAGAAGGGTAAAGTTATATGGGACTTTGTACATCCTCTTCTGAGGAGAATGCTAGGATGGCTTTGGTTGTACAAGAGATGATTATGTTATATTATATGTGTCAGCTTTCTTTTTCTTTATTGGAAATCATCATTAAATATAGTATAAAGAATAACAAATTGACAAGGAGTCCACTGTGCTGGATCATTCTATTGTTATATGATCCAAGATACAGTTTGAAAAAATTAGTTGTCAGCCATTAAAAAAAAGATGGAGATTTTACATCTTTTGTATTGATCTGGAGAGGGCTGAAACAAATTCTCTTTAGGAAAGTATCACAAGAATGGAAAACCAAATATCCAATGTACTCAATACTAATATGAAGCCAGGAGAAAATCTAATACATGTCCACATAAGAGAAAAACTCAATTCAATTCAAGTTAGTGGAAGAGGGAATGAGGAATGAGAGGGAAGGAAAGGAGGGGATTGGTGTGCTCTCACTTAACAGGCACAATGTAAGGGTGTATGGCACACCTTTTGAATACAGGACACAACTACTAGAGGGACTTTACCTAACAGATGCAAATATTGTAACCTAGTTGTTTGTACCCTCATATTAACCTGAAATTAAAAAAAAAATTAGTTGTGTGAGATTTGGAAGATGGAAGATAAGCCACGGTTGTTGCTTTTCATAAATCATGGTGGTTAATTATTGTGTAAGAGATTCACAAATGTCCTGCAATTTTCAGCTTGTTCATATCTGGGCTTTGCATCCAGCTCTCTTTTTGGATGGTTCACTCTGCTGAACAAAGGTGATCCCAGGATTATTCCACAGTGGCTCACAGACATCCTTGCAATTCATGACCAGCTCCTCCTGGTAATCCTACTTCTGCAATTGGCTTCATTTAGCTTCTCATGTTGCATACTCAGTGAAAACTTTGATCCTTCAAGTTCTTTTTTTCAGAAATATACTTCCTCAAATCCTTCCATAACTCTGTCTATCTTAATTACTATATTAAATCCCTTATACTATAACTAAGAATAATTCTGCTTCTTGATTGAAATATAACCTATACAAGGCATATTTTTTTAATCTCTTTTTGTACTTTGAAACTCATTTATTTGCCTTTATCTCTTATTTCATCAAAACCAGGTTGTCTTTAGTTTTCATGAAAAGAACAGTGTAGAAATTAGGGATGCAATATACAGAATAAGACAGAAGTACATATAAGCCTAGTTATATCATTGAAAAATAGCATAAACTTGACAATTTTGGTTCTTACAATTAGGATAATGAAAGTATAAAACAGCTTAAGTTGTGATACAATTAATGTGAGTGAAAAGAGATTCTGTAGATGATTATTTGTTTTGTGTTTACTACATTGTCTGGCATGCAAAGTCTTATTTTGTATTCAAGCACACTAATTTCTATTATTATCCCTTTTCTTTTTTACTTTATATTTTCGAAACATCAACCAGGTATATAATCTGAATGATTTTTATTGTTTCCAGATATAAATTTTTCAAAATATTGTCTCCTGTAAATATATTGCTTATATCTTTTCCAAGTTAGATTTCATTCATCATTAGCTATTCCTTTATTCAATTTAGGGTCATTAGAATTTATAATTTTCAGGACTTTTTTTCCATACAAACTGTCTATAAAACTGTATTTTTCCCTTTGGTTTTAGAGTCTTAAACTGTTATATATTGCTTAGATATTTGTTTTTCTTATATTAAATTTGTTCTTATTATTGTCTGATGGTAAGAGTGAAATTTATTATTATATTTTAAATCATTTTATAAGTATTTTAAAAGATTTAAAAAGAGCCTATTCAGACAGTTTTAATAATTTCCTGAATATAATTGTAACTCATTCAATTACATCATACTATTTAATTCTTTTTGGTTGTGTAAAGTAAATGATGCTAGGTGAGGGAAGACTTTTGTAGAAAGATATTTACATGTTCTCTTAATGAGAGACTTGCTCTGGTTGAACGTAATATGAAAGGAGTGGAGAAATGTGACATGTGTATAGTGAGATTTGGAAGATGGAAGATAAGCCATAGTCATTACATTGTTTTGAAAGCAAAACTCAAAAGCCTACTTGTAGGTTTACCTGCCTGGCCTGGAGATTAATAATAACAAGAGTAACAAACGACTTTAGGGTTTTCAGGAGAATGTTTAAGGTGTTCTTTTCTTCTGAGTGATTTATCAAAGCACCACAAACTTACTTGTGTGCTAGGAATGTAATCCGTTTGATGGTATCATTGAAAGCTTGTTTCACTTGCTTGTTCCTCAAGGTATAAATGAAGGGGTTTAACAAAGGGGCAACAGATGTAGTGAGCACAGACACTCCTTTATTAATGTCCACCTCTTCTTTGGCTGAAGGTTTGATATAGATGAAAATGCAGCTGCCGTAAGTGATGGAGACAACAATCATGTGAGAAGAACAGGTGGAGAAAGCTTTTTTCCTTTGTTGAGCAGAGGGGAATCTGAGAATTGTTTTGATAATATATATGTAGGAAAGAATCACACCTATTAGTGTTATAATGAAAGTCAGCACTGCACAAATAATAACAGTTTGCTCTATAAACCACGTATCTGAGCATGAGATTTTAAAAAGGGGTGCTGCATTACAGCCAAAGTGATCAATGATGTTGGAGTCACAGAATTCCAGCTGGAGGCCCATACCGAGTGGCGTGATGATGATCATCAGTCCAGAGATCCAGCAGCAGAGGATGAGGACTGTGCAGACTCTGTTGTTCATGATGGTCAAGTAATGCAGCGGTTTACAGATGGCCACATAGCGGTCATAGGACATGGCAGCCAGGAGAAAAAATTCTGTGGCCCCAAAGATTCCAAAAAAAAAAATTTGGCTGGCACAAGCATTGTAAGTAATGGTATTGTCCCCAGTTGATAAGCTGTATAAGAATCTGGGAATACAGACTGTTGTGAATGAGATTTCTAAGAAGGAGAAGTTTCGAAGAAAAAAATACATGGGTGTTTTAAGATGAGAATCTATCAGGGTAAGAATGACAATGGTCAGGTTTCCAGTTATGCTCAGAATGTAAGTCAGAAATAAGAAGATAAAAACCAGAACTTGCAGCTGTGGGTCATCTGTAAGTCCCAACAAGATGAACGTTGTTATTGCTGTGCGGTTTCTCATTATTACTTCCTGTTTCTTATGCAATCTGTGTGCATGCAGAGAGGAAGAAAGTGAACTCTTCTCAGTCACTGAAGGAGACAGAACGTCCAGAAAAAACAAATTCCAAGTTATTCCAAATTATTTCTGTCAGCCTTTTATTATGAATCCCAGTAAAATATACCTGATAAGAGCTCAGAGAAGAGCCTTGAGCTCTACATAATTCCTCTGTCTGTAGGAATCTCAATTATTTTGTTTAAATTTCTGTCTCTATTTCATGCTACCAACTTAAAAAAAAACCAAAATTAACTTGCTTTTTTGAAAATTCAAAACTCAAATCTCATTATCTTCAAACTGTTTTTTTCACTAGTGTTCAACACACACACACAGACACAAACAAAATTAGGGTATACAAGCAATGTTCTACAGTTTGGGGACTGTTAAGTAAAGGCATCAACTTCTTTTCTATTATTCACCTTAACTAAGGTTAGAATCCACCTAACTAGTGTGCTTTCAAGGTCATATTTAAATAAAAATTTGAAAGGTTAAGCATGTCTTGCTACTATCTGTTATACTTCTCTGTAATTTTTATGCTGTTTGTTGGTAATTCTCTATAGATGTACCCATGAATGACTGCCCAGTGAATTCTATTAATGCATTAATACCTTTCTTTCTCAAGTAATCATTGTCAGCCTTAAGATCAAATCCAAAGGATGTAATCCTGATATTACTCCATATTTTGCTGCATTTATTAATGTTTAACTTTAAAAAATACACATTTTGTAAAATGTATTGATTTTTTTATGATACCACATTCACTCCTTTCCTCCTCGTTTCTGGCTGCTTGTCTTAAAATTGCTCATGGTTCCACTTATATGCACATATCACAAATATATGCTACTCTACATCCTGCTTTATATTTTCTTGCCACTCTATACTTTCTCCTGGACTTGTAATTGGCTTTTCTGGTGCCTTTCTGCACCTGCATTCCAATATCTAGACCAGTCCCATATATCCAGGCAAAACCAGATATTTTTATTTTACTATTTAACAGACACTTCAAATTGGGCATTGAACATGTCAGCTCTACCTATGCAAGTAAAACATTTCTTTCTCAAGCCTATGAGATCTCCTTTCTCATATAACTAGAAAAATCAGTTACCACATTCATACTACACGTTCAATGAACGGTGCCACCAACCTTTGAATGGTTAAAGCTGAACACCTTCATTTCCTCCAATACCCTTTTGTTTCCGCTCTAGTGTTTAGTCAGTTGCCATTACCTTTTAATTCTATGCCAATTATTCTTTATTATTCATTCCAACATAATAAATCTCTCATATGGAGTAAAAAGTTAATCTACAAATTAATATACCTGTCTTGTCACAGAAAATGACCATACATTTTCCACACTGCATCTAAAATAGCTTATGATGCACCATCCTAAATTTTCCTAGCAGAGGTCCATTTCAGCTGAGCTATGCCATGTACCTTAATATTGCCAAATAGTAGCACTGGGTTTGTTGCTTATTGTATGGACCTGTTTCCCCAGCTATGAGATTGTTGAGATCAGTGTTTCCCTCATATACTACAGATTGCCAACAGGGAGAATTAACTTCACCATATACTTTTAACTAAATCTAAGGGATGATATAAGATTAACAAGAATTTTGAGGGGTTGTATATTATGAAACACTATGTGAAGACTAATAATTTATTCTTATGTTATTTCTTACGTTCTATTTTTCCTAAAACTGAAGAAAGTAAAAAAATTACAAAAAATTGCTGAGAGTCATATTACTTAATTTTGAGGAAAGTATAGAGAAGGCAATTTTGGGGGATAATGCTAGACTTGATTTTTATATTTCTCAAAAAATGGCACATGTCTCATACCAATTGAATTATACTGTTCTCAGCTAAAGTACAGACTTATGTTTTCTTAACCCCATGATACCTTTTGAATTGATCTCTTGCTAGATTCCTTGTACATGTCAAGCAAAGCTTTGCATACTTTAAATAGTACCTTTTCTGTGTGGACCATTAAAAAATCTGCTTCTGCTTCTGCTTCTATAATGTAGCCTAATTGCAGGTTTAGAATTATTGACATCCTCTAAGTTTAATCTTGACTCTGAGAAATATCTTATTGGTAAATTTATTTGATGGTTCCAGCAGTACTTTTGTTTTTTCATGTAAGTTGTCATTGTAAAGACAGTTTTATGCTGATAGGAGAGAGTTACATACAGAAAGCTTACATTATTTTTATTACTAAAAAAGTATAATTAGTATCTTTCATATTCTTTCTTTAAATCTTATATCTGACTTCACTTTTTCAATTTTGCTCCCAAAATTGCTACTTAACATCTCTATGGGCCATATAAATACACCTCTTAGATTCTGGAAGAGAATAAGCATCATTGTTCATATAATATTAACTATATTACCAAGAAAGCAAACTAAGTGATACAGACAAGATCAAAATACTTACTCTTATAATAGCCATTCAGGCTAGAGTTGTAGTTTAAACCACAAAATACCTTAGAGATTGGAAGGACTCATAATTGAGCAAGGATATTCTAATAGTGACATGGATGCATTTTATTCCCATGCTTCTCCTGAACTGCATTTGCAATCATAGACAGCTCTGGGAGTGAAGATGCAGAGCTACCTTGACATTCTTGACCCTTATCAAGGCGGGTATTATTTTTTCATCCTAGAATCTGCCCAACTTGAACAGCAAGAATACAGGATTTTGAAAGCTACACGGAAGAAAAGGCTAGTGCTCAAGGAAACTCAGAAAATTTCCCTGATTTTTAAGGAGTTGATGATCTGACCTGGTATTCTTTCGAGAGACCAGTTTTATTTCAGTACAATTTTCATGGTAAGAAGTCTGAAAAGATTCTTCTTTAGTTAATACAACTAGTGTTCTGGGATTAACCAATTAAACAAATGAAACTGCCTTTGGTGACATTGGTTCCAAGTTATTAATTAATTTGACATCTAATTAAGTGTGAAAAGTCAACAAAGCACTGGAGATAGCATCTCTGGGGACTGGAGGATACAGCAGCATAAACATGGCACCATCAGCCTTCTAAAGTTTTTTGCAAACATTTTTACTTTATTTTAATTTAAGTATAATCGATTGCTAACTGGGCAAAACCATTTTTCAGCTGTTTCTCAGTTGTTCATTCTTCATTTATGAATTGGACTACACATTAGCTGTACTGCTTTTAAGAGTTAGAATGTTGACCGTTTATCTTCTTTCAATTCATTTTTATACATTTGTATAATCAGTTGTATGTGTTTTAAACATTTTAAATGGTATGTAATATTTAAATACAATTTATAATATTTTGCTGTATGCATTGCTTAATTTATAATTTGTGGTAAGACAAGTAAAATTTTATAGTTTCTAAATTGGCAATCATTAAAAAAGTCTTTACCATCTTCTGACTAATATAAGCATTTGTTTCCATTTCCTTCTGGATATTTTAGCTTTTAATTTATTTGTATTTACAACTTTGACTATTTTAATTGTATTTTTCTATAAGGTAAGCTAAATCTAATTTTGCTTCTGCATAAGTTGTCAGTATTTCTAATTCCATTTATTAAAAGTACCACCTTATTCCTCCTGATAGATTCTTTTGCCTTTAGTTTGGAAAAAATTTTATTTAAACTATTATTTCTTGTACAATGTATAAAAATATATTTTCTTTTATTTTAATCCAAATTTTACAGAATTTGGAAAACATGGTTAGGGTTTGGCTGTTTTGATTGTATTATTGTTGATAGATAAGGATTATTTTATGTTTACATATATTTTTGTCTTCCTAAGCCTCAGTTTCCTCATGATTTCTAAGAATTTGAGCAGCAAATAATTATCAGAACAAAACTGACATTAAGACTGAGCTTTCTTAATCTTTCCTATAAATCTTTTTTTATTGTTTCAGGTTAATTGAGGGTACAAAGAATTGGGTTACAATGTTTATATTTGTTAGGTAAAGTCACTCTTATAGTGTGTCCTGCCCCCAGGAGGTGTGCCATACACCCTAACATTGCCTATTAAGTGGGAGCACTCCCCTGCCCCACCCTCCTCCTCTCTCCCCGGTCCCTCATTTCCCCACCCCCTACCTTGAATTGATTTGAATTTTTCTTTTATGTGGGTGTGTATTAGATCCCCTGCTGACTTCATATAAGAATTGAGTACTTTGGATTCTTGCTTCTTCATTCTTGTGATGCTTTACTAAGAAGAATGTGTTCCAATCCCACCCAGGTTAATATAAAAGATGTAAAGTTTCCATCTTTTTTAGTGGCTGAATATTACCTCAGTATACATTTACCACAGCTTGTTAATCCATTCCCGGGCTGGTGGGCATTTAGGTTGTTTCCACATTTTGGCGATTGTAAATTTTTCCTATAAATCTTTAACCTTCTCTTTCCTTGTCTCATAATCTTGAACTGTTCTAATATTAAATTATCTGAATAGGCTTAAGCTAATGTGTTCTGATATTTTTCATTACTTTGAAAAAACAGATCACCTGACTGAGATCATTACTTTGAAAAAACAGATCACCTGTCTTTCCAAAGAAGTGGAAAGACAATGAATTCTGGATGCCTTCATGGTCAGGGCACTTATTATCATGCTTATAAACAGGTACAGCCTGCCTTGGCTTTGCTCATGAATATAGCTTATTCACAGGTCAGATGCCCTAAAAAAATAATTTGGTATTAACTATGAATTCACCTAATGAAATTTCTGAATTATTTCTATATGAGGATTTAAAAAGGAGATTATATAACGCCCCCTCCGCTCCACAATAGATACTTCTCTAACTTGGAGTTATTTCATCACTTTTTAAAATTTTTTTCTGACAGTTTCAAAATTTAAAGTATTGTTTTTTAGGATTAGTAAATCCTAAAACAGTCACTTCAATTTGACTGCTTTATAGAAAAATATGTATATGTAAATTAAAAAATTAAAAAAGTTTTAAAACGGAAAGTGTCATACCCACTTTTTGGACAGTAAT